AAGGGTCTAGTTTTGCACATTACCACACTGACAGTGTACTTCAAATTATACTGTCTAAACATTAAATGTAACGCAATACACAAGTAATGACAATGTACAGTACATGTATATTCAATTTTGTATTTGGAACTATTGGCTATATCTTTCATTCCTGTCTGACGGTTTTAAACAGTTTAAGAATGTCGTTGTTATGCGTGGGCTATGCATGAGTTAATACGGTATATGCATACATTAGTATCCACTACCATACAGATTACCATACTGTACAGCAAGTCTACCTGTCTACACATTGCACAATCATTTAGGTTGGAATCTATTTTCAGCTGTCAACTTGAAGAAATATAACACAGATTATACTCCAAATTGAAGCATCTAAAATGTGCACTTGAGATATGAGCAATCAACAAGAAAACAAAATATGTGGTGATGTTTCAATTTTTTTCCAAATCATTAGCACATCTCCAGATTTCTACATTAATTTTACAATACGAGCTAACATTTATAAGTGAGGAATGATTACATAATCAAGAAACAAACTGAACTAAGAAATAGGAACCATAAAAGCATCCACCTGTCTTATGACAGTGGAATGAATCATGGTACAGTATGCACAATGTGGAATATAGTAGAAAAGTGTTGTGGAAACAGAATTTGATATTTCCTCGCTGATGTCATCTCGTTGTTGTTTGATGACATCAGGCTTCAAGATTTAATTGCAGTCAGTATTCTGGTATCCCGATAATACCAGTTTCGATATGTTTCTAGTATTCAGAGTATGTTTTGTATTATATTTTGGGTTAAACATATGACATCATTTCTTTCCTTTTAAGTCAATAATTAATATTCTATTCTTTGTATCCATGGATATTATCAAATGGATGTTGTTTTGGCAAGCTACTGTACAGTACAAGACTACAAGTGCACATTATATAACAGACTGTATTTTTATTATTTGGTAAATACCAGGAATTTTGGGCATCTCACTCAATTGAACTATTATGCTGAAAGATGTTTTTAGATGGAAATACTGAATGTAAATGTATACATTTATTGAGACCCAACCTGGAGCAGCTGTGAAAAATGCAACTAAATAAAGTCCCTCTGGCAGGAATCAAACCTGATATTTGCATCACTTTAATATGTGTACATGAACTTGCAGCTAGAGCTTGACAACTGGACTCTGTAGCTCAGTACTACTTAATAGTTAGAGCGCTGTACCGGAATTGCATGGCCACAGGTTCGATTCCTGCCAGAGGGCCTATTATTTTATATACTTCCTCATGTTCCATGCACAATTTAGGTTTAATATAACAATTGGGATCAAGATAAAAGAGAACCATACTGCATTTGTACAAAAAAACATGGGGATGTAACATTTGCCAGCCATGCTAAAACAGGCAAACATGGAGATGAGATCATTGGGAAGTCCATTCTTTCCTGACTATTTTTGAAAGCAGCAACTGGACATGGGCATACAAGTTATTCTTGGTGTCACACTACAGTACACAGTACTTTACAACCTAAAATAGTACCAGGAAGGCTGAACACTAAATATACCGTAAAATAATAATTAACACAAACCTGCAAAATCTGGGATATTTGTTGATGCCTCATATTTTAGTAGCGCCTCCACTGCGTCTCTACAAGTACAAAAATACTGTACCTCAAAAACAATGTTAAAATATTGCATGATAAATGCAATCTGCATTTGTCTCTACAACACAATTCCCTCAACATTAGGCATCCCCTTGTATCTACAGTGTTAGCCAGTAACGAAGTAAATTTACTTTGTTACTTTACTTAAGTAAAAAAAATCAGTATTTACTTGTAACGAAGTATTTTTTTAATGAAGTACTTTTTACTTGTAACAAAGTATGATTTTTGGTAAATATTTACTTTTTTACTTTGTTACTTTTGTTATATTTTGGCGAAGTAAAAAAGTATTTCTCAAAGCGGTGAGTGGACTGGAATATATATATATGAAGGTATTTAAAGAATAAAGTTGTTTTACCATGTTACTTACACTATTCCTGCTTAAACCTTTGTGAATTTATATTCTATTTCAGTAGTACTTTTACTTAAGTATATTTTCCCAATACTTTTCTTTTACTTAAGTAAAATTTTCAGGCAGTACTTTTACTTTTACTTAAGTAAAATTTTCAGGCAATATTTTTACTTTTACTTAAGTAAAATTTTCAAGCAGTACTTTTACTTCTACCTAAGTAAAAATTGAGGTGTTACTTTTCACTTTTACTTAAGTAAATATTTTGAGTACTTTGCTGAACACTGGCCCCTCCAATACATTACCTAGGTTCTCTCGACTCTCATTTCTAAAGTAGATTTTACTAAAAAATCAAATCTGGGTTGTAAGTGTGCGAGATGCACTGTATATAACTTTTAATATTTTAAAAGTTAGTTTTCCTATTCTATGATTGTACGTATAGAGTAGATAGTCAAGCATTTTTAACATGAGCCTATATGGCTCGGGACATTGCATGAGTATTATCATTCTACGCTTAGGACTTTAAATAAATTGTATAGCCAAAATTGTATAGGTAGTAAACAACAAATCGTTTTCCATATACAGAGTGCAAGTAGACTACTTAACTGAGTACTTAAAAAAATATATAATTATATTGATTTACAACTCTACTTTTAATTGGAAAATATATCTAGTATATGTCCTCTTAACATAACTCATTAAGCTGCAATGTGCCCTACTTTAATATTTTTACACTCAGTCTGTCTGTCTAATGCCAGACGATTTTACTCATCCATGGGAAGAGTAACTTTAATGGGTAAGCAAACAATCTGCCAATTGTGTCTTATTAACTCATTAAGCTGGAATCTGCCCAAATGTACTAGAATAAGATATAATCAATGAATACTTGTACTAGTTTCAATTTAATTGCAGCTATTACAACCAACATGTCACTGACACAAGTCTCAATTAATCTACCTTGTTATTGACACTGTATTAACTGTACAATAACAGTCATTTTGACATGGTTGTGAACACCACAACCAAACTGGAACCAGGTTTTACTGGTTTTATTTTATACGAGTCAAGCCCAGCTGGTATATGGCTAATTCATGTTACTAAAATTTTTCCTTTATAGTTCATGAGGAGATTGGGTTAAAATGAATATTCAATTAATCCAATATACAAATATTGCTTTCAATTTTATTTCACACAAGTCCTGAGGCCAAAATAAGATGTAAAAGATCCAATTTAACCAGTGTTGGCAAGGAAAACATGGCTGATATATAAAAGGCCTTTCAAACTGTTTATACAGAACTGAAAATCACTGCAAATTCCACAATGTAATTTATTAATTTAATTATCTCTGTTGAGAATTTTAATTGTTACAGCTTTTTATCAATTAGTTTCAAATCAAAATAAATTTCATTTTTATAAAAATATAAATAATCCTTGATAAATAAGTTAATATGACTTTAATGGTTAAACTTGCGATAGATGAGTGACATAGATGAGTGACATAGCTGAAATGTCGATTATGCGTTATCGCGCTAGCCAGACAGAAAAATTCTGTATATACATTGAATCAGTCAGCCACGTCAAATCACATCAAAACAATTCGAAAGCTTAACTCACAGCATGTACTATACATAATCTTTATTATAGCAACAATTTAAACCAAAGATGCGCTTAAACATGAGTGTTATCTCGATTTGAACGCCATCTATAAATAATCAATTTCAAAACTAAATTTGCTACATTATATGGTCATACCTCTTGCCATTTAGTGCGGCATGATGCAGAGGTGTGTAGCCATTTGTGTCTTGACAGTTAGGACCAACTGACTTCCGTATACTAAATGAATGTAGTTATACAAAGATCGAATTAGTTGTACAAGTAAAGTGGGATCATAGGGAAAAGCAAACACAGACACAGGTCTTGTATGCCACTAATCTTGACTCTTGGGTATAAACAAGTCGTGATCTTATAGATTCTACACATACCTTTGCAGTGGACCAGATTTCTTGGCTCTCTGACCAAGGATTTTATCGATTTGAACTAAGTTTCCAGTCTGAGCTGCCAATATAAGTTCTTGTTCCTTGCCCATGACAGATTGACAGTCAAAAGTTATCAAAATTTAAATAGAAATACGATACGATTCTTATCGCCATTTTACTGACAGAGCCAGGCGCATGATAAAGTGTTCCGGCTTTTGCGGGCACAGTAGACACGTCGGGCAGTCGACGGTTTTTGACAAGACGCGGATGCGGACTTGTGGACTTACGGAAATGTGGGAGCGTAGAAAGTGATAAAACGCGGAAAAAAGATCAACCTCGTTCCCAGGATTTTCCCTCTTGCGGAGGAAAAACCACGGTCGAAGCAGGTCGCGTGTCCGATAGAAAATTGATAACTTAAAGCCAGTTACAGCATAGTCAATCCCAAAAATGCGTGGTATTTGTCTCTTTTATGAAGTCTCATAACTTGGAAAAGTTTTGAAAGCTCGCGCGTGAGTTTCATGCTCGCGCGTGGCGCTCAGGCGTGCATATATACGAGTCTACTTTGTTTATTATTGTAACACAAGGTTGGCAAGATTTTTAACGAAAATTTATTACAGCGTTTACTGAAGTATGATTATTTCGAAAATTACAAGCAAAAACAATAAAAAATCTATATCATTTCAAACACTTGTAATTTTACTACGCCCTCCCAAAGTTTTAACTTCAAAAGTTCACTCTAAGACTAAGGATGCTAATAAGGGAATTTTTTCGGTTTTTTTTAAAAAATTAACAAAATTTTGTCAAAACTATGCTGGGGTCACCACCCTGTGGTGATGTCATATTCTTAAATCTGATTGGCTGTCCGTTGCCACAGAATACTACACAGAAGTCCATCTCCATTGTTTTTAGCGTAAGCTCTATTCGTCATGATTCGTCACTCAGCAAGTACCATAAACAGAAGCAGGCACCCCCCTGGACATACTGTTGAAGCCATGACTTTAGAACACCGTATTTGTAATGAAATCACTCTTTATTTTCACGTTTATTACAAATATAGTTTTGTACAGTAAGTTGCTTTCACGAGGAAGTTCAACTAACAACACAACAATCCCATCATGCATTTGTCTCTCAGTATTACGTCATACTAATATTTGGATAACATACAGTTTTATATTGAACTCAACACCCTCACTTGTTATCAGAATATAAACTAATTACCACAACCGAACACAATACTTTTAAAATTATCTAGTTTACATTTTGTCGGTGGCTTTGTTAGGATATCAGCTACCATATCTTGGGTAGGACAATATACAATATCGATCATGCCTTTAACATACATTTCACGTACAAAGTGGTACTTTATGTCAATATGCTTAGAACGTTGTCTGTTAACTGGGTTCTTACTTAGTTCAATTGCCCCTTGGTTATCAACACTTACCTTCATACTCTGATGTACTTTCTTATACATACCGTTTAACAATTGAGTTAGATACAAACACTCTTGAGCTGTATTTGCTAAAGCTACATATTCAGCTTCGCAAGTGGAAATGGCAGCCGTTGGTTGCTTTCTCGACTTCCATGAAATCAGTGGTCCTCCTTCAGTTAGAGTACAACAGTAACCTGTAGTACTTCGCCTGTCTTCCAGGCAAGAGGCCCAATCTGAATCACTATAAGCAGTGAGCTGCAAGTCAGCATCAGATTTCTTAAAGCAGAGTTCATAATCCACGGTACCCTTTAGATACCTTAGGACATGTTTGGCAGCAATTAAATCTCCCGTTCTGGGGTTTGACAGAGTTTGAGACAGTCTGCTTACAATCCAACTTAAATCAGGCCTTGTACAGGTCATGGCATAAATTAGGCTTCCTATCATTTCTCTATACTGTCTGGCGTTGGTCAATTCACCACAGTTAAATTATAATCGTTGCTCACATGGGGTTAACCTGGGCTTGCAGTCTATCATTCCAAATCTCTCTAGTATTTTAAGAATGAATCTTTTCTGATTAATTTTTATTTCACCCTTGCTTTGCTTAAAATCCATTCAAGGAAGAAAGTGATTCTACCTAGATCTTTCATCTTAAATTGTGTCTTCATACTTTCTTTAAATTCTTCCATTAACTGCATACTATCTGAAGCTATGATTAGGTCATCAACCCAAACAATGACGATAACAATTTTATCATCAACTTGTTTCTTATATACACAGTGATCAGCATGGTTTCTGACAAAACCGTCATTTGCTAAATGCTCGTGTAACAATATGTTCCAATTTCTACCTGATTGTTTTAGACCATATAGCGATTTCTTTAGCCTATATACTAACCTCTCACCACTCTCTGAAACCTCTTCAAACCCTTGTGGCTGGTCTATGTATAACTCTTGAGTAATGGGGGCATGCAGATATGCAGTTTTAACGTCCATCTGGTGGACAATAAGATCATGTTTTACTGCTAACTGCATTAAGACCCTAATTGAAGTAATACTGGCTGTCGGGGCGAAAGTTTCTTGATAATCTATACCCTTTACCTGGCTGTAACCCTTCGCTACATATCTGGCCTTAAAGGACTCTATGCCATTCTGATCTTGTTTGGTTGTGTACACCCATTTTCCCCCTACTGAAGCTTTACCTTCTGGTAAAGTTGATAATTCGTAAGTATCATTTTCCTTCAGAGAGCTGATCTCTTCCTTCATTGCTTGCTCCCACTCCCTAGCTTGAGGTGATCCCATGGCTTCTGTGTAATTTTGTGGTAATCCACAAACTTTGTAGCAGTAATCTACACTAATGTGGGCACAATCGGCATTCTTAGGGAGGAGGGTGTCCTCTTCTAAGTATCTGGGAGGGTTCCTTTCTCTTTGAGGATACCGTTTTGTCTCACTGTCATTCTCAGTATGGTTGCAATGCCTTCCCTCACTATCCCTAGGCTCCTCATCAGGCACTGTATTTGGCGGCATTGCACTTAAAACAGGGAGGCTCATACTATCTAAGTCTGATCTAGTATCTTGATCAGATTTCTCATGTACATCACAATGTGCTGGACTCATCAGTTTGTGTGTGCTGTTCTACACTACATTTCTTGATGAATCTAATGAGTCGATGTTTCATGATTTTCCCATTTTTTGGGTAGTACACTAGGTAAGAAGGGCTATTTTTGTCGTATCCCACAAATACCCCCTTGCTGCATCTTGAGTCTAATTTCTTATGCTCCTGTTCGTAAGCAAAACATTCAGATCCAAAGATCCACATTTTAGAAAGATCAGGTACTTTCCCAGTAAGGCTAAAGTAGGGTGTTGTCTTTGTTCTCTTATTAAAACATCTATTCCTAATGTGAGCTGCGGTTTGAATTGCATAGGGCCAGAGAGTTTTGGGTAACCCTGATTGAAGAAGAAGACATCTGCCCATTTCGAACAATGTGCGCCAGTGCCTTTCGGCGGTGCCATTCTGGTGTGGCGAGTAGGGAGCAGAAGTTTCATGTTTTATGCCACGCTCCCTTAGTAGTGTTTGAAACGCCTTACCTGTAAATTCTGAGCCATTGTCAGAACGGATGCAACTTACCTTGCCATAAGGAGTGATGTCTGCTAGAAATTTCTCTGTTGCTACAAAGGTGTCACTTTTACATTTCAGAAAGTAAACAAATACTGCTCCTGAGAAATCATCAGTAAAAGCTATGCAGTACTTAAACCCCTCTCTTGATACAGGAGAAACTGGACCTGCCAAATCCACATGCACTTTCTCCAATGATTTTTGAGATCTTTCATCAGGAATCCTACTCCTGCTGTTTACAAATTTTCCTTCTACACATGTATTACAACCTAACTTAGATGACTCAATTTTACCTGAGAATTTCATGCCCTTAACTACCCCCTGTAGTTTTATAATATCTTCAAAATTGCAGTCAGTAGCGTAGCCAGCCTGAAAATTTAGTCCTGCTATGTAAATTTCAAAGCATTATCATTATTCATTTCTTTAGAAATTCATTGTTTTTACAGTCTATGAACACAGGAATATTTGCACAGCAGGAGTAAATAGTCAGACTGGCTACGCCACTGATTGCAGTGCCCTAGGATTTCATGCCATGTGTTAATATCATACGACAGATTTACTTTATCTACTTCACTTACGCTATCGTTCTCATGACTGTCTATGGAAGTCAAATAGTACAACCGTCCATGTTCTTCAATTTCAACAATGGTACCATCTTCAAGGGTTAGCTCACCAGTATCTTGGGCAAATCGAGGCTCGGCTCCATTTGATGTTGCTGCCTTCACTGAGAAAATATCTTGAGGATAGGATGGTATATATAAGGCGTTTTTCAGCACCGTTTTCACACATTTTCCATTTGTATCTTTCAGAAACACTTCAGCATCCCCTCGTTTCAATGCAATATTACTGGCTCGTGTGCCATCAGCCAGTTCAATGTAATGTTTTGATGGTTTAAATGTCATGTCTATTTGCTTTAAAATATCAGTAGTAACAATGTGAGAAGTGGCACCTGTGTCAACCAACATTCCCATTCGATTGATTTTCCCTGTTGCTTCGTCGTTAACTTTGAATGCAAATGAATGTTCATCTTTAGAGGTGTTTTCTTTCTCCGACACCTGTTTGGCTTGGTCTTTGCTCTTTTGCTGACTTCTGCAGGTGCTATCCGAGTGTGTTGTACTTTTGTGATAGTTACACCACTTCTTCTCGCTCTTAGCAGGGCACTCTCTGACTAAATGCCCTCTTTTCCCGCAGCCATAACATGTCATTGTTTGCGAAGGAAACTCAGTTGGTGTTGAGCTTTTCCGTTTCTTCGAAGCTCCTCAACATGCTCTTAAACTTCGCGAACGTTATCTCACTTGCACTTTGGGTCACATGTATCGAGAACGGTTTATATGAATCAGGCAGCCCCTTTAAGATCATAGCAATTATTAGCCCATCGCTTAACGTTTCTTTGGCATTCTTAAGCGCTGTTATTGCTTTCTCGGCTCTTATTAAGTAATCTGTGACTGTCTCGTGAAGTGCTTTTTCAAGTGACGTTAGCTCAGTGTAGAGTGTGATGATTCTTGGTTTGCCTTGATTTGAATAATGGTCTCGGAGTATTTGTAAAGCCTTTCGGCCATCGTCGGTAGCATCCCTCATTACCAATGACAGACTGGTGTCGTCCAAACACTGTATAAGCTCGGCGTAGCATTCTTCGTTCTTTGTTGCGTCAGCCTCTTCTTCAGACGGCAGGATAGTATCCTTTAGTTTTAATAACCTCATGTGCGCGAGGAATTTCGCTTCCCACAGTTCGTAATTGCTTTCGTTTCCATCGAAAGTCAACCTTGACCAGCGTGATTCTCTGCTGGGCCCATAACCTGTTGAAGCCATGACTTTAGAACACCGTATTTGTAATGAAATCACTCTTTATTTTCACGTTTATTACAAATATAGTTTTGTACAGTAAGTTGCTTTCACGAGGAAGTTCAACTAACAACACAACAATCCCATCATGCATTTGTTTCTCAGTATTACGTCATACTAATATTTGGATAACATACAGTTTTATATTGAACTCAACACATACGCCATTTTTAGTATTTCCAGGAGGGGGACTGCTTCTGTTTACGGTACTTGCTGAGTGACGAATCATGACGAACAGAGCTTACGCTAAAAACAATGGAGATGGACTTTTGTGTAGTATTCTGTGCCGTCGTGCATGACGTTTCGATTCGACATGCACAACAGCCAATGTATCAACGCTTCTTCAATTAAGATTTAAATAGTGTATTAATACAGAGTAGAGACATACAGAGACGTAACTGACCGTTGTAAACACTGCGGAAGATTACGTTATCATGTACTAGAGGTGTGCAAATCCGATCCGAAACCGATCCGAATCCGATCCGATCGGATTCGTTCGGATTTCGGAACCAAAATATTCATTTCGGATCAGATCGGATTGATAAAGTTGTTTCGTAGTCGGATCGGATCGGACTTCGATATCCGAAATAAAATTAATTATCCACGCATTATCGCAATAATTAATTATACATGCATTTATCAAAGTAGCATCGCGGTTGTCGCTACATTATTCGTTTCGGATGACTTCAATTGGACGTCACTTTGTCAGCTTCTTGACATGCATTTCTTGCTTTTATATTTATTTGGTTAAATATTTCAACTTAAATGAGAAATTTATTTTATTAAAGAATTCTTCGGATCGGATGGGAATTCTTTTTCAAAACTCGGATCGGATTCGGATTAGGCAATCTCGGATCGGATTTTAAATATTAGGCAATTGTCGGATTATAAACGTCCAATCCGATCCGATGCACACCTTTATCATGTACCCACTTTTTTCAGGCGACCGGGCGAAAAATGATCAACTGCGCGTGCTCAGCAAGTTTAAAGTGAGTCGTCATCAGGTCGTCATCCAATCAGATGCATGCATCTAGTAACTTGCTGAGCATGCGCACAAAAAAGTGGGTACACTAGTTACGTCTCTGTATATCTCTACTCTGTGGTATTAATCATCAGTGTACTTAACTGCTGGCAGAAGCGGAAAGAAGACGCATCCACAACCTCAAGAACCAAGAACTCCAGCAGCGGTTCTGGAAAATCACTTACTTACCTGTTCCAGAGGCTGTAGAAGTGGACATCGCCGAAATCGGTCTTTCTTTATCAGTTTTTATAGCGACGGCGGCCGCACCTTTAAATTTCTATTTGATTTAGTCAACGACATAACGCCGATTGTCGTCCACGCCAGTTACATGGGTTGTCGTTGGCCTTATTTATTATATTTAATAACTTCATTTCATTCGTCGCTTTGCAAGCTACCCGATGACCTGGGACGCCGGAAGGAGGGGCGCAGGAAGCATCGCCCCCCCCCCTTGCCCTTTAGTAAGGGGGGCAGGGGGGGGCGAAAGTACCCTAATAGATAAAAATTCTAACCCAAAAAATATGAGGTACAACAATTAAAAAGTATGAATTACGGGTGAAATGTACGTAATATTGAAATATACGTAAAATTTTCTGGAATATTGTGTCAAAAATTATGTTTTCAAAATGTTTGCCCTTGTTTTGGTGAATTAAGGTCCCGGAAAACATTTTCGGAAACAAAATATTAATTAGTGATTACGTCAACATTACCCCCCTGTGCCCTACCCTCGCTAGCTCCGGCGTCCCTGCCGATGACAATGAAATTGTTAGGTTAATCCGCAAATTTTTAAATGTTCAGCGATTTTTTCTCGCATGAGATGTTCAGTTAGGATGAGTTGGGCTTCTGTTTTGTCCTATATGGACAAGGGCGGTTGATATGTATACATACAGTATCATATTATACATATACATGCTGATTTCTTCATGACAACGCGTTTTGAAGCCATGTGGAAATTTATATCGACACCATCGGAATTGTTAATTTTTCTCGCATAAAATATTCTGTTGTTTCCTTGTGTGCTTGCTTGATCGGATTAGCCATGGACGTACTGGCAGCATCCTTGTTTTTCTCCATGCGAACGTTTCGTTGAGATAACTAGTAGATGATGTAATTAGTAGATGATGATACAGTTTATTAAGATTTCGGCTTCGTGCATGCGCTGACAATATAGCTTCTATTAAACGGCCAGCTATTTTCCTCATGCAAGCATGGTCAAATAAATTGAGCTCAAAACATCCCACGTGGCTATTATGATTTGTTTTCTTCCCCCATAGTAGAGAGTTTGAGAAAGACAACGAAGTACGAAGACGAAGGGATACTTGACAATTTTTGCCGCCTGCACATTATCTTGCGCATAGTGAGTTGGACATCACTGGTAGTTGCTCAACGTGTCTTCCCATGTGTCGCTGTTTATGAATATTGACCATAATTCTTGCCCTGATCCAGAAGGGACAACGAGACATAAAACTATATCCCGTCTTTGTCCTTCTGCCTTCGTGCAGAACGAAGTTCACAACGAATTTTGCCAAAATATTCGTTGTGAACGAAGGAAGAAGAACGAAGACGGGATATGGATTCATGTCTCTCTGTTTTATTCTGATCAGGGTAAGGATTTGAGCGGTCAGCATTCACAAACAGCTAGACATGAATCTCTAATCTGTCTTCACTCCTGACCCTAAACTCAGAATGCACAAGATAATGTGCAAGACAGGCAAAAATTGTCAACCACGTCGTCGTCGTCGTCCGACTTCGTTCTCTTGCTCAAACTCTCTAGTATAAGTTCTCGGGATGGTTTGAATTGTAGGTTATTATTTTCGTGCCAACGATGTTCTTCGTGTGCCATAATTTTCTGAAATAAGACTGTAAGAACTCTGGGCTTTAATTAAATTATGATTGCGGCTTATTTGTTCAATACTATACAGGACGCTAGAACTTTATTTATTTTATAATAAAATGAATTACCAGCAGTTCTGCAAGACTTATTACAAAGTGCTTAGTCCTATTGGTGGTGTGCAATTATACGTCACCATCGCCATGTTGGATGGCATTGACAAAGGATTAATTGTTTGCAATGCAAATATCATCCAACATGGCGAAAATCTCTTTGTCCTTTGAATCCCATGGTAGTGGTTACACATCACCTATACAGGGTGTCCCCAAAAAAGTGACACTATAGAATTTATCTCATTGTTCTTAAGCCGCTCTTAAACGCGCGTGATTACACGCCTGGGAATTTAATGAACTTGTATTTACATTTAAGCATTTTAAAACGTTTTCGCTTTGTCCAAATATTTTAACGCCCGAGTCAAGCAAAACGATTACACTAATAAACGGTTTGCTTTTTTATTTTAAATTCCAGAAGCAGAAGTTTATGCACCTGTGGGATCAACTTAATGCTAGGGCATTCAAATTATAACAATAGGATCATTTCTATAGTGTCACATTTTTGGGGGACACCCTGTAGTTGTCATTGTTCTGGTGCACAAATCGCTAGGCCACAACTAGTCAAATTGGATGCTGCATGTATCTCTGTATATGTGAAATTTAATATTTTCTTATATACACTGCCAGTCCGACATATCTACGCTGCTAAAACGGGTAGAGACATTGGGGAGTCAATCCCGTCCGGATTTTTCAATCCACATGCGACAGTTATCAACATATGGCCTGCGAAGTGTATCGGACTTTAATAAATATCACGCCGTCACGATGGCTGAAGCTGCAGTTCTTGAAGCACGCCGCCCCGGCGAATCGAAGGCATCTTTCCTCGACGTACCGTGCTTTAACCTTACGTTCCAACCTGTCAAAGCCATACGATCATTTTCAAGCCTTCGATCACCGTGTTTCCTCCGCTCAGTCTCAGAACCTCAATAGGCCAATTCCGTCTGGCCAGTCCAGGGCTGGGAGGGTCGTTTGTCAGTTCAGTTGTGGGCAACCGGGGCACAGAGTTACCACTTGCTGAGGTGAGAGCAACGAACTTCGTCCTGACGTTTTAATAGATTCACCCCGTACGCAAGATCACCACAACAGCAAAGATTAGAGCAAAATCAGGATAGTCGATAAACTTTACTTTGCATAGTTCTAATAGGACCGACTTTATTTGTTCAGACGACTTTAAATTCCATTTCTGTATGTATGCTAAAGCCAGTTTTCCACTTTTATCCAATACCTGTGTTAAAAGCGGCTTTCTGATTGGTTTAGAGCAGGTGAGCTTGTCGTCGAGCTCACCTGCCTTTCGTCGAACTCACTCCTGCTTTTTAACTCACCCGCGAAACTGCTTACGTTGCAATATCAATAACAATGGCGGACAAGATTTAGCCGATAAACCTAAACTTTAAAGACTTTAAAGAACTTTTTCGGTGATCAACCTAGCTACTGAGAATGAAGAAAAACCAAAGAAAAAATACAACAAAGGTAATTTAGACGTAGATAAAGAAGCTTTAAGAGCTCAGTGATTTTTTTGATCGGGAAAATGTTGACAAAACATCGACGAATATATCGCGAAGAGCTACAATGTGTATGGCTCGGTGCAGGGCCGCCGAGAGGTTGGTGGGGACCCGGGGCAAATTTTTTTTTAGGAGCCCCTATCTAAAAAAATTTTCCCGGAAAAATCCCGGAGAACAACACACACACCCCCGTCGCCAAAAAAATTTCGGTCAGTGTACCATTTTAGGGGTAAAAAAAATTTTCCGGAGTACAAAATTTGTCCGGACGAGTACGTTGCAACCGCTTTCGTGGGACTTTATCTCATTTTTTTATGCCAAAATTCGGTACTTAGCCCAAGAGAACAGATATCTTGTCCTTTGCGCGGAAATATTTAACACACAAAAAAGGCTGGGGCCCAACAAAAATTTTTCAGGGGCCCCCAACAACTCGGGGCCCGGGGCAATTTACCCCCCTGCCCCCCCTCTCTGCGGCCCTGGCTCGGTGTATTGGATAAAAACCAAACATACTTGCAGGTTCGGTGAATCCGGGATTGGACGCACTCGGGTGTCTGGAAGTTTTACACAAAATAAAATGCTACGGTACGTTACGTTACGTTACGATACGGTTGAAGTGGAAAACAGGCTTAACGGCAGAGCATTGGCTGATCGCATTATTAATCCGCACCCCCCCCCCTATTGAGAACATGTGGAATTTCCAATGGCCCCCTGCAAAAGTGAACCAAAAATGAAGGATTTTCCATGGGAGGGTCCAAGTTAGCAAATCTGCGTAAATTCCTAACGGTAAGTAAAAAAAATGAGTAAAACGTATGGAATTTTCATGGGAAGGTCAACAATGGATAAGAAATTCCAAAAAATCAGCAAAAAATAAAAAATCAGCAAGGATAAAAATCAGCAAGGAATTTTCCAAGGGATAGCTACTAATCAAAGAATCAATACGGAATTTCCACTGGCTAGATCAAAAACTGTCAAGGAATTTCCATGGGCATGGCTAAAATTCAATAAAAATCTGCGGAAATTCCACAGGGGAGGCTAAAAATTCGCTTAAAATATGAGGAAATTCCAGGGAAGGGGGGACCAAAAATGGA